ACGCCTTGACGTTGCGCCTCAACTCCAGCCCTCCTTGCTCATTTGCTTCCCGTTTCCCCTCTCCTGTTTGTTTGTTGTCTTAGGGCGCGTATGCTCCGCTTCCACCCTGGATCAGTTCGCCAATGAGGCCGTTCTACTGAACCGTGTTGGTCGCCATCCAAACATTGTTCGGATGCTGGGGATGGTTAAGCAGAGCAGTGAGTACTCATCCAACCACCACTGTCTTTCTTTGATGTATGGTGATGTCTTTTTTGGCGTACTGATGTCAAACAGCCCCCGTTACAGCGTTTAGATAGTTCCGCATCTACTCCAAGTCTAATCTGGTCGTCCGTCAGACCTAACACCAACGGCCCCAGCTTAGGGCGAGTAGGGAGCCGACATATTTCGCCGTCCCACTTGCTCTGCCCTGAAAGTCAACTAGACCATGCATGTTGCATTTTCAGGCACCGTAGCCTCCTCCTCCTCTCCCTTGTTGGATTACTTACAATTTTTATAAAGTAGATATTGTTTTCCGATGTGTTGGTATTAATTATCGCTTATTCCTGTTATGCGGCACCTCAAGCAGTAGCAGCAGAAGCATATCGTGTTAGATCTGACGTGGATCTGATCATATTGTTAATTCAGGCATTCTGCCTCCTGGATCTAGCTGTATTTTGCTCGAAATTGAATCATCTGGTTTACAGACTAACTTGTAAGATGACGACCGATTGGTGAATGCGTGCACCCCCCTGGAGCTGTGATTCGGTGCTATGTCTCATCTCTTCCCTCCTTTCCCCTCTCCCCTATGAAGTCATTTCCTCCTTGCGTTCATGAGTATTCGTTCCCGTTAAACCGCATTAGGAAGAAAGCATGAAAGCCTAGGCACTGTCTCAAACACGCACAGTCAACTTTAGCCAGCTCTTCGTGAAATGTCTTGAAGAAGGCCGCTGGTCTGTTAGGAGAGTATAGCTATTGGAGCCAGCAGTACTAGTTTTGACATGGGCTGCCTCACATTATGCTTTTTTGGCCTGCTTCTAGGACTCGATGGACTGCCCCTGATTGTCCTGGAATACGTCGGTGGCCCTAATCTGTTGGACTTCCTGCATTCGAAGCTAAAGCAGGCCGGATCGTCTTTGTCGGGCAGTGCCGTCTCCATAGTCCACTATGACCTTGTCGGGCGCTTGTTCCGTGCGGACCTCTTCTCGATTGCCGTGGACGTCGCCAATGCAATGACTCACCTGGCATCACTTCGAGTCTGTAGACTTTCCTTTCTGCTACTATTCCTTTCTGCCTTGTTTAATCTCCGAGGACACTCATGGGCGAAATTGTAGTAGACGCAGACTTGCCGCATAAGCTGTCAACAGGCAGTCAGTTGTTCGATAGGTTAACAGGAGCGTCTTCAGGTGTTCCCTCTTGACGCGCCGAGTTGCACACCTTTTAAAGGTGCCTTTCGGCATGGCAATGATTGAGGATGGAAAGATGGCGACATCATTTGTTTGCTTCATCATTTTCGGTATATCTGCGGGAACGTTGCTGTGAAGTGTATTAGATCCCATTATCGGGATTAAGTATCTGGAGATTAACTCCTCAATTTTACTCTCCGTTTTTTTCAACCGTGATTACCGGAACATCGAAAATCTCTTACTGTTTCGACTATGTGTACACCACGATTGGCAACGTCTTGTTGAAAAAGGGGGCCGTCTTGTCCATGTGGATTCGGCTCTAAAGTGTTTTGGTGCTTCTGGCCACAGTATTGTTCGTTTTAGTCAATAGACGACCTACTCTGGAGATCGTTTGAAACAGCTTGTCTAATCCCAGTTGTGTCCTTTGGCAGCCCATCTCCTCTCATCCGGTCTTCTTAGGGTATTAATTAGTCGATCTCTGTTTGCACCAATAAAGCACCCGCCATACGGCGAGTTTCAAATCTTTTAGTATTTTTCACTTGTTGCTAGGTCAAGCATTCCTTTACACTGCATGATTCAGACTTTGGGAATCTAAGCTTCGGAGACAGAGAGCGAGAGAGACTTGCGTACTTGACGTCCGTTTTGTTCATTTTGCAGATATCTCACGGCGATCTGTCCGCTAGAAATATTATTCTAACCGACGATTTCCATGCGAAGCTCTGCGACTTTGGCCTAGCCCGGTCGTACGACGACTCCCCGAAAGAAAAGGTACGTTCGATATTGCTTGCTGGCGCCACCTGTTCGAGGGTCTTTAATGACACACTGCTATTCAATATATTTAAAAGGACCTCACTTTTCGACTTTGAGCCACATCTGCTGCATGCTATGTCCCATCTACGTAACATTTCTTGTCTGGAGTAGGTCTCGCCAGACTGCGGTCTGCCCATCCGTTGGGCCGCACCGGAACTGTTGACCAACCCTCCCGTACGGCATCCAAAGAGTGATGTCTGGTCCTTCGGCTTACTGTTGTGGGAACTGTTTTCTCTGGGCGCCACCCCCTACCCCACCTGTGTGACGGAGCGGGCAGTGGCTGCCTGTGTTCTCTCCGGTTGGCGTCTCGCTGTGCCCAAGTTTGTTCCGCCTCAACTGGCGGGTCT